TTTTTTTTTTTTGTTGTTGTTGTTGTAAATCTATCTATCACACAGCTTTCACCAATTCAACTTTTTACAGGTGTACAGCTTATTGACAGCAGTTACAGTAATCGGCTGTGCAACCCTACCCTTAATCAATGTGATTTTTCCATCACCGTTAACCATCCCCCTTTCTTCCCTGGTAACCACTAATAAACTTTGGTCTCTATACATTTGCCTGTTCTCATCTTTTTATGTAAGTGAGGTCATACAGTATTTGTCCTTTTGTGATTGACTTATTTCACTCAGCATATTGTCTTCCAGCTCCATCTATATTGTAGCATGTATTAAGACTTCATTTTTCCTACTGGCTGAGTAGTATTCTGTTTACGTATGTACCACATGTTGTTTATCCATTCATCTGTTGATGAGTATTTAGGCTGTTTCTACCTTTTGGCTATTGTGAATAGTGCTCCAATGAATGTTGGTATACCAGTCTTCTTTTTGAGCCTCTGCTTTCAAGTCTTTTGCGTATGTATATACCTAGGAGTGGACTAGAAGAGTCACATGGTAGTTCTATTTTTAGTTTTTTAAGGAACTACCATACTGTTTCCACAATGGCTGTACCATTTTTGCATTCCCATCAGCGATGGTTAAAGATTTCCAGTTTCCCCACATTCTTGCTAACATTAATTATTTTCTTTTTTTTTGATCTTAGCCATCCTAGTGGGAATGAAATGGTATCTCATTGTGGTTTTGATTTGCATCTCTCTGATGACTAATGACGCTGAGCATATTTTCATGTGTCTGGTGGCCATTTGAATATCCTCTTTGGTGAAATGTCTATTCAAGTCCTTTGCCCATTTTATGATTAGGTTGTCTTTTTGTTGTTGTCAAAATTTTATATATATTTTGGTTATTAGATTCTTATTGGATATATGGTTTCCAAAGATATTCTCCCAGTTGGTATCTTGTCTTTTCACTTTTTTGGTAAAGTCTTTGATGAACAAAAGTTTTTAATTTTTTTGAGGTTCCATGTATTTATTTTGTCTTTTGCTGTTTGTGGTTTTGTTATTATATTAGACAATCTATTTTTGAAATTTAGGGCTGACAGTGTTGCCCGTGCTTGTTCTTCTAAGAATTTTATGGTTTTAGTTTGCACATTTAAGGCCTTAATTCATTTGAATTTGTTTTTGTGTATGGTGTGAGGCATGGATCCTGTTTCATTTTTCTGCATGTGAAAATACAATTTTCCCAGCACCATTTATTGAAGAGACTCTTCTTTCTCCATTGAACGAACTTAGCATCCTTGTCTATTTTTACACCAGTACCAGGCTGTTTTTTTTTTTTTTTTTTTTTTACACATATTGTTTTATGACACTGGTTAACAACCCCACAACATGTCAACCCTCTAACTTCTAAACTTTTTTTTTTGGTGAAAATACACATAGCCAAAGATACGCCATTTCAAAAATTTCTACATGCACAGTTCAGTGACATTGACTACGCTCTTCCAATTGTGCTGTTATTCTCACTTAAGATGAAGGCTTACAGAACAAAATAGTTTCTCATTTAACAGTTACTACAAATGTTGCCCTATGACAATGGTTAACAATCTCACAACACATCAACAATATCCTTACCCATCCTTGGGTTCCCTATCATCAGCTTCCTTGTCCCCTTTTGCCTTCTGGCCCTTGTCACTGGACTACTGTACCTCATTAGTCTCATTTGGTTTCACGGGGCTGTCCACTCCCAGGCCGAACGGTGAATCTCGGAGATAACTTCACCACTGAGCTAAAAGGGTGTCTGGGGGCCATACTGTCAGGGTTTCTCCAGTCTCCTTTAGGCCAGTAAATCTGGTCTATTTTTTGTGAGTTAGAATTCTGTTCTACATCCTTCTCCAGCTCTGTCCAGAACCCTCTGTTGTGATCCTGGTCAGAGCAGTCAGTGGTGGTAGCCGGGCACCATCTAGCTGTACTGGACTCAGTCCGGTGGAGGCCTTGGTAGCTGTGGACAATTAGTCCTTTGGACTAATCTTTTCCTTGTATCCTGTTCTCTTCATTCTCTCTTGCTCCCGAAGGGATGAGACCAGTGGAGTATCTTAGATGGCTGCTCACAGGCTTTTAAGACTGCAGACACTACTCACCAAGGTGGAATGTAGAGCATTGCCTTTACAAGCTGTGTTATGCCAATTGAGCTAGATGTTCCCCGAGACCATGAGTACCAGGCTGTTTTGATTACTGTACCTGTATGGTATGTTTTAAAATCAGGAAGTGTGAGTCCTACTTTATTCTTCTCTTTCAGCATTGTTTTAGCTTTTCGGGGCCTCTTGCCATTCCATGTAAAGTTGAGGGTTAGTTTTTCTATTTTTGTAAAGAAGGCTGTTGGAATTTTGATTGGGATTGTATAGAATCTATAGATCACTTTGGGTAGTGTTGACGTCTTAACAATATTAAGTCTTCCAACACAGGAACATGGAACATTTTAGCAGCATTTTTTAGTTTTCCTTCATTTCCCTAGTTAGATTTATTTGTAGGTATTTTATTCTCTTAGATGCTATTGTAAATGGAATTATTTCCCTAATTTCTGTTTCAGATTTTCCCTTGCTGATGTATAGAAACTGAACTGTTTTTTGTTTATTGACCTTGTACCCTACAACTTTGCTAAATTCCTCTATTAGCTCTAGAAGTTTTCTCATGGACTCTTTGGGATTTTCTACATGTAGTATCATATCATATGCGAATAGAGATACTTTTACTTCTTCTTTTCCAATCTGGCTACCTTTTATTTATTATTGCTCTGGCTAGGACTTCTAATACAATATAGGATAGAAGTGGTGAGAGCAGGCACCCTTGTCTTGTTCCTGATTTCAAGGGAAAAGCTCTCAGTCTTTCTCCATTAAGTATAATGTTGATTGTTGGGTTTTCATCAAGAAAGGGTGTTGGATTTTATCAAATGCTTTTTCTGCATCCGTAGAGATGATCACGTGGTTCTTTTCCTTTGTTCGATTGATGTGGTGTATTATGTTGATTGATTTTCTAATGTTGAACCATCCCTGAATTCCTGGAATAAATTCTACTTGGTCATAGTATGTGACTCTTAAAATGTTGTTGGATTCTGTTCACTAGTATTTTATTGAGGATTTTTGCATCTATATTCATAAGAGATACTGGCCTGTAGATTTCTTTTCTTGTAGCTTCTTTGGTTTGAGTATCCGGGTTGTTTTTTTTT